CTATGGAATTAATCGGTATTTAAAATGGTTTCATTACAGAGAGCACTGTACACGAGGAAGGGCTGTTTTCAAATCGTTAGTTGTTTTGCACCGGACGAGATTGTCTCCAGAGGCGGACTGGAAAAGACATTTTATAACAGATATCTATATAATGCAGAGGCAAATTTGCAAGGGAGGTCTCGGCTTAGATTAGAAGATATTGGTATATGCTCGTACAATGTCGCTTCGGGTGCTATCCAATGCTTCAACACCTACCCAAACAAAGGTAACATCAGTATGCCCAGGACCTATAGTTGAGCTGATGAAGAATAAATTTATATTGGACCAAGATAAAATAGTGTTTGATAAAAATCTTCTTTTATGGTTGTCCATAACTTGTACTAGGTGGAATTGTGATCGAGATATTAATAACTCAAAAATAGCACAAAGCAACGTGCGTTGCAGCTGATCAAGAATATTCTACATCGATGCCCTAGTGGAGCAAATCAAAAGAGAAAGCTGGTTTAAAAACATTAAGAAAATACCAACATGTCAACATAATCATAACCAAAACTCAGATTCTATAAAACTAGGACAAAACATAAACAAAAAAAGTTTACACAAAGACTCTGGATAATAAGACCATGTGTTCCGGAAGAGTAAGCGTATTCTGATTCATCGACGACACCCGAAATGCAAGCATTTGGTACAAGGTGTTATTTTTTCAATAATGCTAACATAACCGTGGATTGTAAAGCCAAAAGGTAAATAGTTTTAAATATCAAATTTCAGATAGTTAGAATTTTCCTGAGTTACTGAGAAAGAATGAAAATGTATATCACACCAGGTTCTACCATAGAAATCGCCAATTAAAGATAACGCTGAAAAGGGATGGACGTTACCATGCCGTTTAATTAATTAATAGGGAACCTGGATAGCTCAAACGAAATCATTATAGACAGATATTAGTATAAAGAATTGAAGTGTGTAAAACTACGTGAACGATCTACGTTACAATACTACTACAAACCAATGGGATTAATACGACCTTAAAGTTTTAGGGCAGGGCACTATCTTAGCTTCGTAATCCGTAGGAAGAACGATTCCGGATAATTTATACCGCGTTTCTTTTTATTTACTCTTTTTACATCGACCTTCCATCGTGACTTGTTCGCCAATTTAATTCAGTTTTATTGTCGTTTGTTGTTTCTTAGGTCACTTGCTGTCGCGTGCTCACGTGATTGATCGCCAGTGTATCAATACTAGCCAGAATGCATTAGCTAAGGCATGGTTAGGCTATCAAGTGGATGGCAAATTTTATCACAAAAACATTGTCGCAAAAGATTGAAATAAATTTCGCCGTCCTTATCCTAGAACTTCACTATGCTTATTAACATCAACATATATATTTTTAGATAAATAATATTTGCGAAGGAAATCAATTTTTTTTTTTTTTTTTGCTTTTCATCAAGCTAACTGAACATACATTGTATCAGGGGTTAAATTCTTAAATCAGCTTTATTCCACTAAAATTTTCCAAAAGAAATCGAACTTTATTTCAGAAGTATTGTAATTCGTTCATCCTTACATCTGTTGAAATTTGTCTTTATTTAAAAATCCTGTAAGATAAGGTTTTATGTTTGTTTTAATCCATTAGTTTTAGTATTTATTTCATAATTCAAGAAGACCGATTAGACACGTGAAGACAGCTTTCAGCGAACACCCATCGCCATAAATAGCACGTAACAGTAGCAATCGTGATATTTAAGTTAGGGACCGATAAACGGGATATCTTCCACGTTAGGAGTTAAATAGAAACAAAAAACGGTAAATACCCGAATGCATATGTTACGAAGATAACTTCTTTCCCGAAGCTGTTTCGAGATATTTTTTCTCACTGTTTCCGGCGTATTTTTTATTTCATGTGTTTGCTTATAGATGTACGTGCTTTAAAGGTTGTTTTCGTTGCTAAGGTTGATAAGAATAGACCTTTATCCTGCGAGAGAACAGTAATGTCTTTGTTTGACCTAGCTTTAATTTATAGTGATTCAAAAAACGATAAAAAAAAACGTTTAATGAGTGTTTATGTGAGGGGAGAAAGGGATTCGTTTCTTCTTCTTCATCTATTTCTTCTTCTTCTTTTCAATAATCATAATTTACCATGACACAATTTGTAAAACTCATTTGCATCATTGATTATTTTTTTTTGTTTCCGTAAATAAAGCTGAAATACTCGAAATATAATTCTGAAAACTGACACCCGTTTTTACGTATTTCACTTCTATATAAACAATAAGAAGTATTACAACAAGAATGTTATCAACTTTAAAAACATACATTTCAAATTGGTACTTCGAAGCAAGATTCGGTGAAAATATGAAAAGAGATAAATATAATCGTATTGGCTATAAGAAAAAGCCAATATGTTCATGAACGGTAAGATACTCAATCCCAATGATGATCACCTAAATACCAATATCTGTGCCATGCTATGTTCTCAATATGACAACCGAGATAGTATCAACGTTAGCCGTGTACCACAATATTAATGAAATAAAACACTCCAAGGAAACATGAATATATGATGTTGAAGAATAAGTGGTTTCTCGTATGTCTTCTGAAAAGGGGCATCGGAGAGCCCATAAATAGAGTATGCTATATTCCACATCAGCTGTCTAAAGCTGTAGAATGTGAGGATATCACATTGTGTAAACATAAATGGCGTTGAGATATTTTCGTTAAAAAGAGTTTCTGATAGTGATAATTCATGGTTTATCATCAAACATTATCGACAGAATAAGTTCAACCCTGAAAAATACGAAACCCAACCAGATCTACACTCCTATTCATATGTACGTTTACACTAGTTTTAATTTATCTAGTATTTCAGCCTGTATAAGACTAACCAATATCATAAAGGTCATAAAAAGGTCAAGAACACTTCCTTTTGTACTGATTTGATTTGCTATTTACCTGACGTTAGTACCCTCTGATCTCCAACCTCTAACCTCTACACCTTACCCTATACTTACTACCCTTTACTCCCTACTCTGTAACCTCCCATCCCTACCCCCTACCCTTAACACAGTATCTTTAACCATTTACAGATTATGTTGCGATCAGATCTCGCCGTCGTGGGTTTATATATATATATATGTAGGTATCACATCTGGGACTATTTCTGAAACTGAATCTATTTCAATGATTTTGTGCAGAATGTATACCCCCTACCCCCTTTCCTCTACCCTCCACCCATCCACTCTCTACCATCCACCCATTTACCCACTACCTATACCCCTTATTCCCTACCTATAGCCAAAATACAATATCTTGAACCATTTACAGGCCTTGTCGACCTGTTGCGATCCCTCTCTCCGTCGTGCGTTTATGTATATATATAACAGCTCACGGGTTACTATATATATATACACACATATATTTCTAACTACATTTGGGACAATTTCTTAAATTGAACCCATTTTAATGAAATTTTGCATGGTTTATTTATGCACTCTACCCTCTACCCCACACCCTCTACCTCCTACCCGAAATGCTGTATATTGAACCGTTTACAGCTCACGGGTTACTATTGATTTATATTTCCAGTCGTTGTTTGAACGCAAATCCATGCCCTTCTTAATGCGTGAAGTTGACTCAGCAATCGACGTGCCATATACAAGTACAACATTCAGAATTCAAATGGTGAATTTGAACAAGGAACTGATCGGAAAAACAAAATGGCCGACATAAAATCATGCTGATTCAAAAATTTTAAAATCATTATTGCCTTTTCTAAAGGATGGGAAGGAAACAACTTTTGAAAACCAAATAAAGATCAAACGAACGCTGGGCGCCTAAACGCCTCTGGAATCTATTCGTATGTTAATGGGTCCGTTTTGAAGTTGAAGTGTTTAGTGATCAGCTTTTAACATTTTGAATTAAGACGGGATCGGTTTGAAAAAAAAATATAAATATAGAAATTATGCAGGGTTTTACAAAATACAAGGTGTCATGATTCCGATCCCACAGAAAATATTGACACTATCATGATATAATTATATTGTCCCAAATTCTTCTATTCGTGTTATGTGACAGTCACTTCTGTTCATGTAGATATCTCAGTTCCGTCCAAAGACCCAAAAAGCTGACCGATCAATTATGATCTGAGCGAAACAGGAAGTATATTCCAATCACCACATGATCAAAGAGACATAATATCTATACTCTAGATTTATTTGCATTTAAGGAGCTTTATGTTTTTTGGGCAATTCAATCAATCAAATTATCATAACAGCAAATCATTTTGTATAACAATGAATTATCTATAATTTATTACTTCTCATTGTATTAGCAATAATGTCGGCCTTATCAGGGAAAAGAGTTATCTGTCCAAACCTCTACCCCCTACCCTCTACTGTCTACAACCTATCATCTACTCCTTATCTCTACCAGCAACACCGTACCCTCTACCCCCTTCTCCCTACCGTCTAACCTGTACCTCTCTACTCTCTATCATCTACCCTGTACCCCATACTCTCTAACCTCAACCCCAACACTGTACCCTTTACCCCCTACCCTGTTCCCTGTACTTCCTGCCCTGCACCCTGAACCCCCTACTCCCTACCCTCTAGTCCTTAATCCCTACTCTCTACCCCCTACCCCTTTCATCTACCCTCTACTCTGTGCCCGTTACCCTCTAATCTGTACCCCTCTACTCTCCATCATCTACCCTGTACCCCCTACCCTCTAACCTCTACTCCCTGGCCTGCACCATGTGCCCCCTACCAATTAGTCCTTACCCCCTACGCTGTACCCCCTACCCTCTGCCCTCTACCCCTTTCCTCTACCGTCTATCCCCTTTTCTCAAACCTGGCATCACACATGACATGCATGTTTGATCAATTCCATTACTGCAATGGGATTCAAAGGTCAATCGGGTCCAATACTAAGAGGCGGCTAAAAACAATTTCATTTTCGTTGTAAATTGGATATTTCATCGCTTCCTTGTTTAATATTGAATGTTAAAAACGGACCATTGAGCATTTGTTCGCGGTCCATGGCTGGGGGCTGAATGGCTCCTTTGGGGGGTAGAGGGCTGGGGGCTGAATGGCTCCTTTGGGGGTAGAGGGCTGGGGGCTGAATGGTCCCCTTGGGAGTGGAAGATTGGGGCTGAATGGTCCCTTTGGGGGTAGAGGGCTGGGGCTGAATGGTCCCTTTGGGGGTAGAGGGCTGGGGCTGAATGGTCCCTTTGGGGGTAGAAGGCTGGGGCTGAATGGTCCCTTTGGGGGTAGAGGCTTGGGGCTGAATGGTCCCTTTGGGGGTAGAGGGCTGGGGCTGAATGGTCCCTTTGGGGGTAGAGGGTTGGGGCTGAATGGTTCCTTTGGGGTAGAGGGCTGGGGCTGAATGGTCCCTTTGGAGGTAGAGGGTTGGGGCTGAATGGTCCCTTTGGGGGTAGAGGGCTGGGGTTGAATGGTCCCTTTGGGGGTAGAGGGTTGGGGCTGAATGGTTCCTTTGGGGGTAGAGGGCTGGGGCTGAATGGTCCCTTTGGGGGTAGAGGGTTGGGGCTGAATGGTCCCTTTGGGGGTAGAGGGCTGGGGCTGAATAGTCCCGTTGGGGGTAGAGGGTTGGGGCTGAATGGTTCCTGGGGGGGGGGGGGGGGCTGAATGGTCCCTTTGGGGGGTAGAGGGTTGGGGCTGAATGGTCCCTTTGGGGGTAGAGGGTTGGGGCTGAATGGTCCCTATGGGGTAGAGGGTTGGGGCTGAATGGTCCCTTTGGGGGTAGAGGGTTGGGGCTGAATGGTCCCTTTGGGGGGTAGAGGGTTGGGGCTGAATGGTCCCTTTGGGGGTAGAGGGTTGGGGCTGAATGGTTCCTTTGGGGGGGGGCTGAATGGTTCCTTGGGGGGGAGCTGAATGGTTCCTTTGTGGGTAGAGGGTTGGGGCTGACTGGTTCCTTTGGGGGGGGTTGGGTTGGGGCTTAATGGTTCCTTTGGGGGTAGAGGGTTGGGGCTGATTTGTCCCTTTGGGGGGGGGGGGGTAGAGGGCATCCCCGGCCGTTCTAGACATGCTTTTATTTATTTTCACGTTTTTCTTCATATATTAAGAAGATTTAATCATATTTGTAAATCCGTATAGATACCAATAATTAAGGGTACAGGGTACATGGTTTGGATAAATTCTGCAAACTTTTATTGAAATAGGCTCAGTTTCCGGTCGACATGACATGTACAAGGTTCACAGTACTGTTTTTGGGTAGAGGGTAGTGGGTAAAGGGTAGTGGGTAGAGGGTAGTGGGTAGTGGGTAAGAAAACGTTCTGCCGAATTTCATTTAATTGGGCTCAGTGGTTTTTCGAATTAATCATTTGTCATTCAACGGGTACATTGGTGATTGTTTCAGCTGAGAGTGAATCAAAAAAAAAAAAAACCCATTCGGATTCAAAAACGCATAAGGGCGAAGTTTAAAAATCTCCTCTGAGAATGCACAATCTTGGTGTCAATTATCCAGTTAGGTTTTATGACTTAAATTGAGATGTTTTTTCATAGTAAACATGAAAAGTAAACTCTATATGTGATTTCGGAAATCCTTGCGAGAAGTTGTTTTCATATGTCCTTGGTACAACGTGCAAAATATTGACTGCTTTTAGGAATGAAAATCTGTCAGCAGAAAAAAAAGTGAGCAGGTGAGCTATAGGGATAGCGCGGCATCAATCGTCCGGCGTCTGTCCGTCGTCCGACTTCTGCCAACATTTCCTATAAATATCTACATGTTTTACTAAATTAGTAAAAGATCAAATAGTTAAGCCTTAGTGAAAAGGAAACCAATTTTGTGTAAACGGTGGTGGATATGCCCCCTCCCCGGGGAATGAGGGACGGGACACAATGGAGAAAAATATAACAAAACAAAGGAGAATGTTTTGATTAGAAATAGAGGACCTCCATATCTTTGTGTGTATTATTACTTCTCGATTAACACGATTCATCGGAGTAGCAACTCAATATTATTATATTTGTATTTAGGGTCCAGAATCTTGTCGGACACTAAACCTAAGTGTTACTCTGATATGAAATTGTTTATCGATTTATGCAAAAAAAAAAAAAAATAAAGAAAAAAAAAAAAAAAACGATTTGGCCATGAAATATAGATCGACATTTGACTTTCAATTCAGTTCTTATGACCTTGAATTTTAGCCTGACGATTTTTAATTTGATTGCAACTATCTATGTTTCATTATGTCATAACAGAATATTCACCAGTAAGATATTCCAAAGACGTAATGAGCTTGACTGTACCGGAGTACTTGTTTCAGTTCATACCCAGGATCTATCTAAAAGCATGTATTCATAGTCACCACGAGGCAAATGTTTAATTAAGGATGAGTTAAACTCACTGCTAGAACTAGTTTATCAAAAAAATGAATAAATAGATGAATTATTAAATTATACAAGGAAAAACATAACAATTTAAGGAATCGAACGTGTGACCCCATGAAAAAAGACTGTTGTCTCTTTTATTTTTCGTTTTTTTAAGTAAATTGTTTCATCTAAAATGCAGCTGTTCATTTAGAAGTAAATATACTGTACGTATAAACTACACGTGTATTGTGAATATCAGTTCATATTCACTTCTTTCACTCACGTTATTTTGTACCCAGGCATAGCTACAGTAGTATATAACACAGTATTGTCTGTAACTCAGACACGATTACATTTGGAGAAGAAGTTTTCATAACACAACCAGCAGAATGACGATGACTACACGGTCACCTCCATCAGACAAATATGGAGCGTGCTAGCACTGACGTATGTAATGAAGAGATGGGAGGGAATAGACCAGCTTTTTCAGCTGTACTATGATCCTATGTACACTAAGTCGAAAATAGTGTGACGAGATGGTAAAGAGATTATAGATCCGAGATACATACGATGATAAAAATATACAGTAGTCAATTTGGCTAAGCTTTGTTTAACACTTGGTCATAGATGTGCGAGGGTCTGTATGCCGTACTTTATGTCAAGTTATGCAATGTTATCATTCTGAATGTTATTTATCGTGGGATGCCACATTCAAGTTCTAAATGTATGTCATAGTTCACAATTTACAATATAAAAATTCTGAATATTGAAGTTGTACATGTATGTCGCAGTGCATTCAGCTCTGAATGTTAAATGCTGTTGTACAATGTATGTTGTGGTACGCAACGTTCAGATATTAAGATTGTATCGCATTTCCTGGTGGGAAACATTTGAATTCTGAATATCGAATGTTGCATATCGTAAGAAGAGAAAGTACCGGGTAGTGGGAAGTGCGTGGGGGTAAAAGGTTAGAGGGTAGAGGGAAGGGGGTAGAGGTTAGAAGGTAAGGAGTAGAGAATAAAGTACACATGTTATGGTGTAGAGGGTGCAGGGTATAGGGTATATGATTTGGATAAATTCTACCAACTTCTATTGAAATAGGCTCAGTTTCCGGTCGACATGACATGTAAAAGGTTCAAAGTACTGTATTGTGGGTAGGGAGTAGTGGGTATGGGTAAGAATAGTTCTGCAGAATTTCATTGAATTGGGCTCAGTTGTTTTCCAAAAATAGTCGTAAATTAAAAAAAAAACAACAAAAAACAAATATATTTATATACGTATGACAGAAAAATGCTATCACAACAGGCCGTCATGACATATAAACGGTTAAAGACGTTATTTTAGGTAGAGGGGAGGGAGAAGAGGGTAGAGGTTAGTAACATGGACAAACTCTTCAGAATTCCATTGAAATATGTTCAGTGGATTTCCAGAAATGCTCGCAAATATTAAAAAAAATGTAGATGCACAACGGAGAAATGGAATCAGTACAGGTCGACATGAGCTGTTAACAGTTATGATACTGTATTTCGGGTTATAAATTACCCAATTTTGTTATGTAAATGACCTCTCTTTCACGTAATACGCGTGACTGAGCGAAATATCTGAATCTGAAATATGAGTTCATAGAAAAATTTGAAAGTTTCAAGATACTGTATTTTGGGTTGGGGGGTAGAGGTTATTGGGTAAGGGGTAAAGGGTAGATGGTAGGGGAATATATAGTTGGTACAAGGTACAGAGTAGTGGGTATATAATAAAGGGCATAGGGATGGGGGATATAGGGTAGGGGATGAGAGGGGGTAGAGGTTACATGGATATATAGAGAGCACAGGATACAGGGTAGATAGTAAAGGGTACAGCGTAGGCGGTAGAAAGTATGGATAAATTCTGCAAAATTTCATTGAAATGGGTTCAGTTTCAGAAATAGTCGTTCATGTAATAAAAGAATGTTTAAATACACAACGGAGAGAGGGGATCGCAACTGGACGACACGAGCCGTAAATGGTTACAGATACTGTATTTTGGTATGGGTTAGAGAGTAGACTTCTTCTGGTTCATTCTGTGGGCTTGTGCTGTTTCCATTTTCGCCTTTTTTTGGGGTGGAGGAGCAAGAGACTGTTGCAGAAATGCTGAGTTATGAGGATGCGACGGATCACTACAGGTATGATTGTACTCTTCCCTATTGATACATTGCGTCCTGCCAATATCGAATTTGGTTAAATAGAAGACTTTCACAACACTGTAAGTCACAATTAATCGGATGTCGGCGGATCGAATGCGGATTAGTACAGCATCATTCCGGATTTGCTTAGAGTCATTTCGATCTACCCAAGGTTTTTGTGTTAATCCGTGAATGCTTGACTTTAAATACTTTTCAACTTTCTCAAATCTTATTAAATTTTTTACCGGAGTAGTTTTTTTTACATAATCTTCAAACCAAATCATTTCTTTTACATACAAGCTCCCAAACTGTGACCAATTGGTGGGATCTCCTATCTGAATATTACGCCCTATTAATTTACAATAGAATTACCGCGTGTAGCGAAAAAGAGTCATTTCCGGTCTCGTCGCATCTGCTAATTAAAATCTTCACACTAACTTTATCTTACGATGGTAGCTGTGGTGCCATTTTATACCTAACCTATGGTTAGAAGGCATGTTCCTATAAAATTGAGATATCAAACGAAAATACAAATTACCGAACAGACCCGACTGTGAGATTACAATGATATCATGGTGTCAGCAGGGTGACTATAAAATCCGGAATCGTGGTAACATCCGGACTTTATTTTCCAGCTTATCGAAGGGGTTCCTATCATCAACTTGACAGTAAATTAATTCATATCGAGATTTTGGCACACAAAACTAAAAATCAATGTTAATTATTATGTCATCTATAAGTGATGTGCTGTATTTTTGTAATAAATCAATTTTATTAGAATTTCTGCTGATATGAACCAGCTCTTATTAAATCTTGAGAAGATAAGATTGCAGATGGTTAACACCCTCGTAGTGACAGAAGCATGACTTAATAAGCGATAAAAGGGACATCAATTTTTTTTCCATAATTAAGATATTAGCGGGGAAAATATAAGATGTTTTGACAAAACGAAGATATACGGTTAACACATTAGCATTGATTTTTATGTCATCTCCTAAGTAACCGTTAACGTTATATATCTACTTCACGAGTGGGCATAATGGATACATTTTTTTTTTCTTTTTTTTTGGGGGGGGGGGGGGGGGGGGCAGGCAGTGGGGGGATGTTATGACTCAAAATGCAGGAATACAATGTCCACCTTTATTGTGACCAATAAAACTTTTTATGTCATACCTTCTTATGGACAACAAATCAAATGGTCCTTTATTTTGGATTTCATATATTCTCATTTTCCGTTATTATAAATTTGAAACCAAATTAGCTGTCACTGGGAACCATGTGAATTCTACAAGAAAATACCCGTAATACTAATATGAGATATAGAACATTGCTGTGAAATGATGCACTTTCACTTAAATATATTGCCATTCGGATTCGGGTCGATATTACCGAATCACCACAAGATCTCATAGAAACGAGCATCAAAGTTTTATTGCGCATAAACCACTCCGCAAAATCTCAAGTTGAACCGTACTTTGATCACAATCCTCGTCAGGATCTGATAACATGAATGGTGTCCATACCCTTGTCCTGTCTCAAAAGATTACGTCCATAT